AAAAAGGCATTCAACTAATTGGCTCCAGCTGAGCCTTCCATTTTTGTTCCAATCATAAGCCCAACACAGGTGACAAGGCCTTGGCAAAAGCACCTTCGGTGTGAACACCGCTGATCACTGTGGGGTCCTGGTCACAGCTTGGGGGAGGGGTCTGCCCTTGAGCAGTCTCGTGCCCGGAAGCCTTGGTGCCATCTGAGGGCCCCCAGGGGTTCAGTGGACTTTACACTTTGCCATGTTAGGCAGTGAAGCCAGAGCTCTTCCAGTGAATGAAGAATAGGCTCTTATGAGTTCCTAGTTTAGCCAGACAGGAGCTGTTAGACATCCAGGGAGAAGGTGCTCTTACACTTGGTGCTGTTTGGGGACACTGTCAGTGCTGAGAAGGTGGGTCAGTGAATATTTACTTGTAATAGCAGCCTCAGCGGTCATGGTGGCTCTGTTCTAGCCATTCAGAGAAGAGTGAGAAAGGCCAGACATGAAGGTATGTTTTAGAGAACCAGCATCTTGTAACTCGAACTTAGTGGAGTGCATTAACTTTTTTCCCTTCCCTCTGGACTCTCGCGGTTACGAATCATACCAAGTAGGAACACCTCAAATTTTTATCCGTGAGCTCAGATTTATAAAATGGAGCAAATATGTTACCTCACCACTTTTGAACTGTTTAGGGGCTTCCCTGGTGGCTCAGCTGGTGAAGAATCCGCCTGCAGTGCGGGAGACCTGGGTTTGATCCCTGGGTTGGGAAGATCCCCTGGAGAAGAGAAAGGCTACCCACTCCAGTATTCTGGCCTGGAGAATTCCATGGACTGTATAGTCCATGGGGTCGCAGAGTTGGACACGACTGAGTGACTTTCACTTTTCACATGTGCTCTAAGCATGTGCTTGACTCTGTGGGTAAAGAAGCCACCTGCAAGGCAGGAGACACGGGTTCAATCCCTGGGGTCGGGAAGATCCCCTGGAGGAGGAAATGGCAACCCATTCCAGTATTCTTGCCTGGAGAATCCCATGGACAGAGGAGCCTGGCAGATTACTTGTCCATAGCATTAGACACAGCTGAGTGACTGAACATAAACAAACAAACAAAAAAAACATTTCCCAACCCAGGTCACTGTGGCTCAGACTTCCATCACGAAAGTACCCTGTGGAGTAATGTGTGAATGGAGAGCAGTGGTGATAGCTCTGTGATCTTCCTGCTTCAAGGGCCTAAAGGCAAATGAATGGGAAAGAGTTGCCAAGGGCAGTACAGACACAAAACTGGCCTCTAGGTGGTGCTTGAAAGCAGGTTCAGGAAGGCTGGCATCCTGCGGGATGAACTCCAGTAACCTGCAAGCTCCTGGGCAAAGTCTTCTACAGACTGGCACCTGTTCTACTGGGTGTCCAGGGGGGCACTGGGCCAGTTTGAATACATTTCTTCAGTTATTCCTGCAAGGTGTGTATTCCATCTATGTCTGTCAGCTATTACTGTTAAAGTCAGCAAACTGGAGAAAATACACTTAATCAAAGAGCTTTTGCCAATTGCAGTCATTTTGCCACAAAGCTTTACTTCAAAACATCTACCTGCTGTTGCCCAGCCCCTGTGTTGTCCAGATGGGAGTGAAGACTTCGTTGGCTTGCAAGTGGAATGTCTCCTAAAGGGGGATTCTTGGTGAAAGTCGCTCAGTCGTGTCCGACTCTTTGTGACCCCATGGACTGTAGCCTGCCAGGCTCCTCTGTCCATGGGGATTCTCCAGGCAAGAAAACTGGAGTGGGTTTCCATGCTCTCCTCCAGGGGATCTTCCCAACCCAGGGATTGAACCCAGGTCTCCCACATTGCAGGCAGATTCTTCACCATCTAAGCCACCAGAAAAGCCTGTATTTAAAAAAAAAAAAATTGTAGAATTTTTAAACAGTGGTATAGCTGCTACATTTGATTTAAATATTAACCTGTAATTCCTGCTAAAACATTTGCCATCAATGAAGCCACCCCCTCCCCATGTAAACCATGTGGACTTTGTGTGAAATTTACATAAAGAATGTTAGTATAAACATGCTCACTCAAAAGGACCCCTTTTGAGTTCTAAAAATTTAAGACTCTATAGAACCAGGCTGATTTTAACATATACTTTTTTTTATTAAATATGTAAAAAGATAAACGCAAGTCAAGTTATTCACATAATCAGAGACAAAAAACTAATCTACCATGCGACAATAGATGGGTAATGTAAAATGAATGTGATACATCTGAATAAGACCTTTTCATCTATTATGTCATTACTTATCTATATTTATAATTAACAATACATATGTTTACATTCCTTTCAGTTTACATTTAATATATAACAAAAGCTTTATGGTATACTATTTAGTAAAAGGAATCTGAATGCATATTAAACCTTAACGGAATAATGGAAATACTCACCAGGGGAGGGAGGAGTTCCTGGTTCCCTTCTGGAGTTTACTTCTCTCGAGTCAACAGGGTGTGTCTTTTTTCTGCTGTTTTCTCTTTACCCCCTGCTTCAATCACTTCCTACCTGATGTGAGCAGTGGACATACTATAATCAGCTGTGGCGGGTGTGAAGGGGACACTAAGACCCAAGTCGAGCGGATGCTTCTCAGCCCAGCATGAGGATGGGTGACGAGGGCGGGGGACTGGCTGCCGAGACGAATGATGGGGTAGTCATCAGGGAGAAAGGAGCAGTCCTGGGAAATAAGAGGTGAGCTGCACTACAGGCTGGGGTGCAAAGAGGACTGAGAAACTTAGCTGTCAAAGATTCCCTGAGGCACCAGTGATGTCCCGTGTGGTGGAAGATGCCCTAGGTAGAGGCAGAAAGGGAAGTATATAGCTCCTCTCTAAATAAACCAAGAGTCTGCCCCAAGACACTGGGAAGGAAGCGGGAATAGGATGACTGGCGAAGGTTATCTTTGCCAGGTATCTGGCCAGTATGTTAATAGGCAAGAAAGTTGGGGATCTAGGGAGGAACGGAGTGGCTGAGTGTCACTGGGGAGGCTTATGCACACTACCCAGTAATCACCCTCATGATGGGCACGTGGGTCCTGCCCTACCTGGCACTGGGTGTTACTGACGTGTCCAGGGCAAGCAAAGAACCGCCCGGGAACCACTCAAGTGTCACCTGCAGGGAACTACTTATTGTGCCTCTTCACCAGAGCTGTTTAAAAAGAAGGAAACTCAGTGAGTGCGCCAGGCTTGGGAGGGGACACGATGTGAAGCACGATGCTGCGTATAGCACGACCACGCCCTGCAACCAGGTGTGGGAGGACGTCACCGCAGAGAGCCAGGCTGGATTCCAGCCTGAGAGAAATGAGTTGTCGCCGAGGCGCAGAGCAAGCAGGAGAGAGAAGAAAGGGAAACCAAGCTCCATGGAACAGCTGTCCACTTCTGCACAGTGTCCTGTAACAACCTCAAAAATACAAGCAATCCTTTTCACGTGTTAACTCGATAAATACCACTCCGCCGCTAAAGATCTGAGAAGACTCCTTTTGGTGGAAAGCGTCAAGGCTGGAATTTAGAATTCGTATTTCATCAGTTATTAAAGAAATGTCAAAGCTTTATGAGACATGATTCAGAAATTTATTTGAAGCTTTTTCAGTTAAGAGGAAAGTGGAGGGGCATACTTGTTTGTTTTTTGTTGCACCTGCTAAGTCAAATAACAAGTGAAGGAAAATCTAAAGTTAGAAACCAAGTGAAATGAATGATCCAGGGAGGGAAACCATCTTTCAAAGGAGTGGTTGGGGGGGGCGGGGGGGCAAAGATTTGGAAAGATACTAAGAAAATGTGCAAATATTAGTTTAAAAAAAATTAGGAATGCTTTTCATTCATTCATGTTTCCTCTGTTTATGAACTGCCACGGTTTAGCGAAGGTCAGTGACAAGGAGGGCCATGTACTGAAGAGGGGGATTCCTTATTCCAGAAGGCATTGGGAGTCAGATCTTTCTGTGCTGTCTTTCCAGTGTCAACACCAGACTTCAGAAGCAGGGTTCTCCCTTGGGCTTACACTCCTATCATAAGGTCGTCACTCCAGGCCTTCCAGCAAGTGTGTGGCATGCCCAGGGCTGCACACCCTGAAGTCATTCTTTAGGAGGAACCCCCTAGTGTGGATGACAGGGTTGGGGCTAAAACCCACACGAAGAGGCAGGAAGGACCTGTGCCCATGCAGACCCCCTCTGACTGCAGACACCCGATGACAGCTTTTAGGGAGAGTGGCTGCCCACCAAAGAGGACCCTGAGAAAGAAAACAGCGTGAGAGCCTGGGTGGGGGCGGGGAGCGGGGGCGGAAGCAGTTGGAGGGCCAAGTCGAGATGCTGTTCTCCTTGACTGAATGTCTTTCCAAACTAACAACATACTGTGTGGTTGTCTAACATGCTGATGGATGAACACTGCTAGGCCCTGAAGTCCTAGTTTTGATGCCCTTTTTTCTTCCCTTTCGTTTATGAGTGGAGGGAGAAACTGACTCTGTGTTTTTCCCCATGAAACAAGTCACTGTCATATGGCTTTCATATCAAGTTATCTCTTTCCCTTTGTTCCAATTTATTATTTGACCAAATTTATGTTCACAGAGGTTAGACTTGCAAACATCAAAGCACCACAAATGTGTGTGACATCTAGTGACACTGGGTTGAGAAATGCCAATATAAATACCATATATCAAATTACCATTGTTTCACACCAGGATAAAAAGGGAACGGTGGTGGTGGTGGTGGTGGTAGGGTTGGGGAGAAGTTGTTCTGGAAAGAAATGCAAAGAGCAGAACCAATCTCAAGCAGCCAAGTGGGGAAGTTGAAGGTGTGTGACCCCCGGGATGTCTCGGGCAGGCCACCCGTGGCCGCCGCTAGTGTGTCTTGGCAAAGGAAATGGGACCCGAGCGCGGTGCTGGCGTGGGCGCTGGCGCGATGATGTAACAGCAGACTGGGAACGACTGGTTTCTGATGAGCTTGAGGCCACACGTGTTCCAATTCTCCGGAAGAGAAGTTCCCACCAAAACGGAAGTGTGGAGAGCTGCCGGGACGGTTCAGTACTCTTCCTGCTGCTGCGGCTGCTGCTCGTGGACTTGCTCCTCTGCTTCCGGCTCCTCCGGGTGGCCCTCCTGCGGGGGCGAGAGGGGCCAGGGGCGAGGTTTCAACTGATGGAGCTCACAGCCGGCGGCCCCGCCATGTCCCCGGCCCCGCCGTGACTGCGCGGCATGGCGTCTCCACGGCGCGAGCCGCGCGGAGCCCCCCTGCTCCCAGAAGCCAAGGCACACAGACGGACGCCTTCCCGTCCCCCGCCCCTTCAAAGTTCGGATCCTTCTAGAACACAGCCAGCAGGCTTTGTGCACCGCATTTTCTTTCTGTCCACTTTGGAAGCACAGCCTCACAGACAGTATGACATACTTTCCCACCCTCCGGAAGACAGTAAAGCAAAGGACCCAGGAGTGTTGTGATCACCAGGGGTGAGCCTGCTGTGACCGGGTCCTGAGCCCCAGGACCCCGAGGGTGACTGAGGGCTCCGTCTCCTGCCCTGCTCTTCCTCCTCACCTGGTAGCGTGTCTGCTTGAAGCAGACCCTTTGTTAGAACCTGTTATTCCTCTGATGTGGAGAAGCAGCTTGTCAAGAGTGGTTAGGTAAAGAAAAGGGTGACAGCTATGGTTCCGGGCTGCCCGTGGACAGGCGGTTTCCCCATCAAGGGAGCAGAGGAGTTGAGCTCCTTCCAGCCATCTATTTTGGGTACCTGAGGCATTTTTTGCTTACTTTTGATGGTTGAGGTGTTCCTCCACTTGGTTCCAAATGACCTATTTACTACTTGCCTTTAGCCCAGGGAAATACATTGTGAACACCAACTTGGGGGAATACCAACCTTGGTCAACCATACCTGCAAATTGTTTAATTTTCTGACCTCTTAAATAATAATCAGCTCTTTGTTACTCAAACAGAGGGAGTGCAGCTGATCAACAGGGTCGACTGCTGCCTCCAGAATGCACAACGCTTTGCAATGCAGTCGGGAGCACCTGCTGGGACACACAGACACACTCGTGTTCTCTCACACTTTGCACACCTCCTTCCTGTCTGGCCCTATTCCCTTTAGCCCTGGATGAATCTCTCAAAATCCAACTCAAACACAGCAGGATCCTCTCCCCAGGCCCCAGAGACAGGATTCTCTTTCCTTCTTCCTGCAACATTTTGCTTATGCCTTGGCTGTAAAACTTTGATTTGTAATCTTGCTTGTCTTGAGCCTTGTGACCTCATCCAGTGGATCCTGAGGCTCCAGAAGTTGGGACAGGGCCTCATCCATCTGTGTCAGACCGCACGTATGTGTACAACTCTTGTGCACATGTGTCAGGAGGAGGACATCAGAGAGGGTGCCACAACAGAAAGAGACTATCAGCCAAGATCACGTTATCACTTATCTTTTGAGAGGCAGCATTAATGTCAAGGTTATAAGCATGGAGCTGGAGTTTGTCTCCCAGATCCATTATTTACAAGCTGAGTGACTTCGGGTGACTTAACTGCTGTGTGCCTTGGTTTTCTCATCTGTAAAATGGGTGACAGACCAAAAGTGCCCATTTAACAGTTTTCAATGAGTGTCATTGATCAGTAAATCAATGGAGTCACTGAATTCAACACAGGGCTCTGAGTTAACATAGGTAAAGTGCCTAAAAGAGTGTTTGGCACGTAAGTGTGAGCTGTGATTATTTTTTTCTTGGAAGGAGAAAACTCATTGGAATATATTTTAGAAAGAAGAATGATTTTTTTTAAAGTAATCTTTTCTACAACAGGAGGAGAAAATGACTCCATATTGAAGACTTAGGTTCAAATCTAGCACCATCCCTTGCTGGACTGGGGTCAAGATGCACATGAAATATTTGATCTCCCTACAACTACACCTATCATTATACCCAACACGGCTCCAACTCTGAAGCATGAAGACCCCGCTCCTCCTCTGCCCACATCTGCTATCCTTTGGGACCCCTCACTCCTTAATCCCTTAACTGCCATGTCCTTTGACCTCAGAGCCTTGAGCCCTCCTTTACTACAGCCTCTGCCAGTTCTTCCCCAGGCCGGCCCGGCAGCATCCTCTTCATGGCTCTGTACACCCCGCTCTGCACAGAGTTAGGGCCTCATGGACAGAGGTGGCCTCCCACCCTCCTGGGAGCAGAAGAGCACCTCCTGCTGGGATCAGACAGGGAGGAGGAGCCACTGGCCGCCTCCAGTCTGGGAGCAAAGAAGGGAAGTCCTGCTCCTGGGAGCTGACCACCAGGGGTGGTGGACCAGGGACCCCCGTGTCTGCTCTGCTGCATGCTCCTCTCCATGCCTCCCTCACTGCCTTCACCCCAGAATAGGCTGCTCCTCTGAGCTTTATTACGCTCATGCTTCCATCAGGGTGCACACTGTGTGTGTGTGCGTGTGTGTGTGCACATGCGTGCCTCCGCTGTCTGGCTACAAGCTGACTTGCAGACTCAAGCTTACTCTACTCGATGTCTCCAGCGGGACTCTGAGCCTCTGAGTCCCCCAGGCGTTAGAGATCTTGTTTGATTCATCACCCTAACGTTAAAGAGTTAGCTGCTTCCATATCACATCGCCCGGGCTTCAGCTGGTTTCAAGTGTGCTTTTCTTACACAACTGTTTTTGTGAGTGTCAGGCAGTTGGTGGGAAGATCACAGAAATGAGGCTCTATTTGACAGTTTACAGGAAATCCTGTCTGCTCACACCAGGACTGGGAGTCAACTGTGGGATGATGGATTTAACCCCGGACTGGAGTCGGAAGAGGTGGACTCAAGGAACCGTGGGCCTGTCACACCAGCGGTGGGCCCAGAAACCCACTCACTGGGTTAGGCCCCTCCCCAGGCCCGCTTTCCACACTTGCTGAGCAAGGGGGTGGGTGTGGTGTCCCGGCCTAGGCCTCAGGTCACCCCTCACTCGGGGCGCCCCTGTGAGGTCACACATCTCATCGGTAGGAGCCTCGGACCCCAGAGCACTCTTCTTACTGGGTAACGCGGGTGTGAAGGGCAAACGTCCTGTGCTACCAATGGATTGCTAACCCCTGGGGTGCAAATGAAGGTGCCCTGAAGGCCTGGCAGGACACACCCGTCACACGTCACCATGGGGAACTCCCAGCCCGCTGTGCCATGGAGGCGCTCATGCTCAAAGATGATCTTTCTCTCCTGCCCCACTCAAGAGGGAGGAACTCAACTGCACAGGCGAGGAGGAGGCCAGGCAAAACCTAGGTCAAATACGTGACTCAAGCACTGGGGCGCCACCTGCTTAATTAAATCTAACATCTGCATGTCAGTCCATCACCACTTCCTAAGTGATTAGCTGTCAGCGGCTGCTTTGGAGTTCCTTATTCTTTCAATGATCAACAGAAGGAGAAGCGAGCTGCAAGTCAGCCCTGGAGGGGGCTCCAGGATACTGTGGCGGGGAGAGCGGGGGCGCCTCCCACCTTCCTAGATGGAGGCTCATCTGCCACTCCTACACCAGCTCATCCAGCTGTTCTTTTCTCTGCTTTGTTCGTGCTGTTTCCTCTGCAGAAAAAAACACTCCCTGTCCTGAGCTCTGTAACTGGTCACATTCCTCGTCATCTTTCAACATCCAACACAAATGTCATCTTCTCTGTGAAGTCCCAGCCTGTCCCTTCAGGCTGTCTTTATGTGCACCCCACACAAGTTTATTTATGTCTCCATTACTGCATTTATCACAGCCTGATATATTCCAGTCGGTGGTGTCCACATTCTGTCTCTCTCGCCAGGGCAGCAAGCTCTGCGAAGGCAGGGGCTGTGTCTGCCTTCTGAACATACCCAATGCTGTGTCCAGTGACAGAAACACAGGCTGAATCCAAAACACGTGGGTGGAGCTGGGGACGTAGCTTAAGCCATTCCACCCAAAGTGGCTTCTGGGACAGGACCACAGGAAACACGTGCCTCTGTATTAGCAGGTGACCCTCTGCTGACAGAAGCACAGGGCAGCAGCTACCCAAGGACTAAGCCCAGACACCTGTGGCCCCAAGCCAAGTATTAAAGATGAGGAGAATCATCAAGACAGGAACTGGACAGCAAGCTGGCCATCTGCTCTGGAAACTTCCATGAGGTTTCTACGACTGCAAAGTGAACTGCCTCTGTTTACTTCTTATACTCCACAAACTCATCTGCATGTCTACATCTTCCAAACATGTTATTCTAGGATTGGCTGACTATAAGAATCAAAGACCAGCCAAGGTGAAATAAAGACTGAGGGAGGAGACCTCTCCACCTGCAGTGCCAGTGCAGGGTCCGTCTGTGGTTAACTGCCGAGCAGACCCTCAGCGCAGCCTCAGATTCCTCAGCACCTCTCCCACTTCCAGGAGGAAGGCAACCAGAAATCTCCGCCTCTCGGAGGTACAAAGAAGTCAGGCCAGCAGTGACAGGAGTAAAGTGCTGGCATTTTTTCCCAGACACCATATGCATCATGGCTGCATGTCCAGCCAGGACTGAAGTGTATGAATGGCCTGAAAACAGGATGCAGTGTCAGGGTGAAGCACAGTGGGGGAAAAAGGAGGCTTCTGGCGCTTTCGGGGTGGGTGCAGTAGACTGTCACATTCTAAACAAGGACACCTGGCATATTCCAGCGGATCCTCTATAGAACACTCAGCATAGCCTGAAATGTTTCTTTTGGAGCTGTCCAGACCCAGAGTTGCATGAGAAGTTACCCTGGAATGAGAAAAATTAAGGCAGCAACTGCGTTTGAAGTTGCTGAGCCCATTGTTCCCCAACTGACACCTTTCCGAGGCAAGGGTGGAAGCTTTTTTTCAAAAAAAATTTTGTTTTTGGCTGCACTGGGACTTGGTTGCTGTGCGCAGGCTCTCTAGGTGAGGTGCACAGATTGCTCCTAGCGGCGACTTTTCTTGCTGTGGAGCCGGGGCTCTAGAGCACAGGCTCAGTAGCTGTGGTACGCAGGCTTAGCTGCTCTGAGACATGTGGGGTCTTCCCAGATCAGGGATCAAACCCACGTCTCCTGCATCGACAGGTGGATTTCTCTACCACTGAGCCACCAGGAAAGCCCAAGTGTAAGCTTTTTAAAGGCTTACTCCCTTAAAGGTAGAACCTGGATAAGCTGGGAGGCGGCCACAGAAACAGGATTCGTTATGCTCAGGGAGGGAGGCAAACCTCAATGAGTCTAGGGTGTCTAGGATGGTTCTGTGAACCTTTAGGAAGAAAAGCAGAGAGCAGAGCAGGATGAGCACTCCTGAGCCCCTCCCCGTCCACTGCTAAGAAGTGTCATGTGTACACGTGTGTGCAGTAAGGGAAATACCCTGCAGTGTCCTGGCACACAGTAGTCACTCCCATCTTTCTGGATAGAAACCAAGGTTTTTTTTTTTTTTTTTTAAAAGGATCTTGTCACATTTTAAACAAGGACACCTGGCATATTCCAGCTGATCCTCTATGGAAAACTCAGCATAGCCTGAACTGTTTCTTTTGGAGCTGTTCAGACTCAGAGTTGCATGAGAAGTTATCCTGGAATGAGAAAAATTAAGGCAGCAACTGGGTTTGAAGGTTTTGCTCTGGTCACCCACACACGTAGTTTGTGTTGTCTATCTTCTAGATTCCAGAGGCCTGGTTACTTACTGCCTCTAAATCTCTTCCCGGACTTCAGATGCTCCTCAGCACACACCCGGCAGCAAGGCCACTGTCTGTCTCTCTCCTCCCGACCACGTTTCTCCCTCTCTGACGACATCAGCATCATCTCAGCCAGAACAACAAAGGTGGCTCTGGTGATGCTGCCAGCCAGAAGAAAATGGACGTTCTCGGTGGATGCTGAATCAACAGGAAGCCTAGTGGCCAGAATGATACTTTTGAAGGTGCCAAACAACAAAATGAGATGAAGGGAGTTGTTTGAGAAAACCCAGGAAGGAATTTGACTAATTCCTTCTTCACGTACAGAACATGGGCAACTCAATACTGTCAATTAGACAAAGTCTATCCTGTAGTTCCCCTATGTGGTACTACCTTCACTTTTGCCTTCCCCCATAACATCCAATATACTGAGAAGAGGGAACACAGTCCTCAAGATTTTGGGGCTCTGAGTTAGTGAAATCTGGGTAGTGATGGAGCGTACTAAGGGTGGATCACTGGACAAGTAATTTTATCTGTGACGCAGAGATAAGTAATAGTACACAACGTAAAAGGATGTGGTGAGAAATGTATTTAGAACACGAATGTAGTATCTAGCACGTGCTAAATGTGCAATGTCAGCTATCACTACTGTTCCTATTTAAAAGGCATTCCTATTTAAAATATTCCCTGTTTAAAAGGTGGTTCAGGCTTGCAGAAGGGAGGGCATGAACTCAGCGCTGGAGTTCAAGAGCAAATTATGATGCTTATTTGCTTGGGAATGTTCTTTAATCTCTCTGCCGCCTTAGTTTCTCTCATCTGTAAAATGGGATAACACCCCTATCTACTTAATTCTCTGGAGAATTAGAGGAGCTGACACATGGGAAGTCCTTGGCTCCTCCCCCTCATCTCCCATCCCTAGAGTTTTGGAAAGGCCCTGCTAATAAACCCATTAGTCTCCATGACTGATGATGTGTTGAAATATTACTTCTTTGTGGGGAGGCAGGGTGTGTGTTCATTGCTCATACTCTGCATAATGGCTCGCTGAAGCCAGACCTCAGCAAGCTGGTGCTGGTGTGTATGCTGGGGGTGGGGGTGGGGGGTGGTGGTGGTAGAAATGGTCCAACAGAAGCTGAGTATGTAGTCATGGAGGAAGACACCCCTGAACTCTCTCCCCAAGCCAAGAGCTCTTGCCCACAGCCAGCCCTCATGTCATTAGCCAGGAAGTGGGAGGCCCAGCTAACCCTTAATTTGGAGTTTGCTTGTTGGTGTTCCTACACAAGGACTCCTCCTTGGGACAAGATCTGGCTGGAGGATAGGAGCAGAAGGCTCTTCCTCCTGCTGGCAGCGTGGTGGGAAGGTTCCATCCTGCAAGATGCCCTGCTCCCGTGAGCAGGCACCACCCTGGTGCAGGCAGCACAGTTCACTCTGGCTCATGGAACCACACAGACCTCATCAGGTTCTGCCTCAAACAAGCTTGTGAAGACAGTAACCACAACTCATCTAGTGCCTGACGGATGACAAAGGAGTCTGTATACACAGAACGTCATGGAAACGCCACTCGGGGTGGTGCAGAGACACTGGCAGAAGGACGCCGGCCACCTGCCCGGCTCCCCTGTGGTCCACGCTGCCCTTGGGGGCCTGGCTCCCCTGCCGTCCACCACATCCAGGGGGCCCAGCTCCCCTTCCCCCAACAATGCCCCCGGGGGCCTGGCTCCCCTGCCGTCCACCACATCCAGGGGGCCCAGCTCCCCTTCCCCCCACAGCGGCCCCGGGGGACCCGGCTCCCCTGCCGCCCACCACATCCAAGGGGCCCAGCTCCCCTTCCCCCCACAGCGCCCCCGGGGGGCCCGGCTCCCCTGCCGTCCGGAAGGCGAAGCCCCACTGGGCTCCCAGTCCCGCTGCAGGGGCTTCTCCCGCCCTGTCTAGGCGGGCGTGGGGTGACCCGCCCTGGGCTCTGCCGTTCATCCTGCCCCTTCCCACCCCACCCCCCCCTTGTTCCCGAGACTCCCGCTCCTCCGCATGCCTGCTTCCCATCCCCGGATGGAGCCACCGCCCGGGTGCCCCCTCAGCACATTCACTCATGGGGAGCAACCCCGGGCCTCCCCGTGAAGGAGGCCTCCTGGAGTATCTTCCCACAGAAGGCCGTCTCACGATGCTACTCTGCAATGGCGATGAGTAACCAAGACAACCAGCCAGGAAGGAAAAACCAGACAGCCGTGGGGGCTGACAGGGACGGGAAGAGCATCGACATTAATGTTTCCTTTCACCACACCCTGCTCCGTCATGAAGAAAGAAGAATCTCTACACACACTCTTACTGCTCATTTGCTCGGGGAGCTGAAAACCACTTGAGGCTGCGCAAGCCTGTTTCTCTCAACCCAAGGCCTCTCGGCCCCGCCCCCCACGACTGGTGACGTCCACGCCTCTCTTCCGGGATTTAGGAATGCCAGTCCCCTCCGCAGGGTGAGCGGGTGAGGGTCATGCCGAACCCTCTGGAAACACTGCATGCCCCGGCTGAGCTCACTGAGCCCCGGGGCGGTCTCTGAAGGTACAGCCATCACTGCGCCGTGACCAAGAGCATCACTCTAGACCACGAGCATCCGCGCTCTGCTCACACTCACGTGTTCGTCCGAAGCGTAGAGGACTTCCATTAGTCGCTGCACGAGGTCGTCGTTTTCCTGCCCGTGTTCCTGGCAGAGGAGCTCAATCTCTCTCAACTTTCCGAAGTAGAAATCCCTTTCTTTTTCCACACCTTCCAGGGCAAGTTTTAACGAATGTACCTGGCGAGGGTGGGGAAGGTGGAAAAGAAAACCCTCAAAAAATACAGCATTAAGAAATAAGTGACCAAGCATGCCTGCGTATAAGGATGCGAAGCATGAAAAGACAGATGTGCAAAAATGAGATGTGCAACAATAACGGATGGGCAGGTCCAGGGAGAGACAAGGGGCTGCTACTGGAGCCTGAGCCTGGGCCCGGGAACCCAACTGCAGCAGCACGTCTGTCACTCCTGTCAGCTGAGCGTTTATAATAACCTCAGGCCTGGGATCCTTCCTCAGGAGACAGTTCCACCTGGGCCCCGAGTCAGCCTTCCTTTCCCGCTGACATGGGCGGGGGCACACCTTCCCCCCAACTCGTGGGTCCTCTACAGGGAGGGGGGATGAGAGGGCAGGGGGACACGGCAGGCTGCGGACCCTCCTTTTTTTCTTCACATCACTTGCATGGAGAGCTGCCCTCAGCTTTGGAGCCCCAGTACCAGACCCAAACTGGACAAATGCTTCTACGGGGAGCCAGGGGCTTGGCTGCACAGGGAAGACAGGGCGAGACTATCAGCAGGCTGAGTGGATCTGCCTCAGTCCCTCCAGGTCTCGCTTCGACCTCATCACAGCAAAGGTGATAGTGTGGAAGCCCCATTCCCTCAGCAGAACAGTCCCCATTCCCGTTATTCTCCCTTGCGTATGAGGCTGAGTCCGACAGAGCCATCACCTGGGCTGAAGAAACCTGGAAGGGCATGTAGACAGACCTGGTCTCAAATTCCAGGCTGCAGGCCCAGCAGCCCCACACAGGCCCAAACCATCACCCGCTCCTGCTCTCGGAAAATCCCTCAATTTTTTTGAACCCTTTGAGCAGTTATAAATTTATGCAAAGAACATCTTGAGGAGGTAAACTAGGTCTTTCACGGTCCTCCTCAGGTGTAACCTCTCTCTCAGTATATGAAAAATCACCCTTAACAGGTTTCAAAGACAATATTTGGAATGGAAAAGGTTTCTAGTAACTCCAGGCCTCTGTATGTGCTATTTATCTGCCTGGAGTTATTGATTCATTGAAAGAGATACTCAGCACATGCAGTGGCCCTCTCCTCATGCACCTGGCAAACCTGAATCCATCCAGCAAGACTCCAGGGTACGGGTCTTCCTCAGAGTTAACCCCACCGACGCCCTCACGCAGCTGCTCACAAAGCAGAGGAAGAGGGACTTCCCTGGTGGGTCCAGTGGCTAACACTCCGTGCTCCCAATGCAGGGGGCCAGAGATCGATCCCTGGTCAGGGAACTAGATCACACAGGCTACAACTAAGAGTTTAAATGCTGCAACTAAAAATCCTGCATGCGGCAACAAATACCCAGTGCAGCCAAACAAATAAATAACGAAAAACAAAAGGGTAATGGAGGATCATCAGCTTCTGACTTTAACTCTTCTTTCTGATAATAATAAGGCATTGTGGCTCGTGCTCAGTCATGTCTGACTATTTGTGACCCCATGGACTGTAGCCCGCCAGGCTTCTCTGTCCATGGACGTTTGTAAAAACTGAAGGTAACCTAGTTGCCTGAATTCCAGGAAAAAAAAAAAAAAAAAAACCCTCTTGACTCTGGCATCCTCCTCCCCAAACCTGACCACAGGTCCATCTCAAGCCTGCACTGGTGTCAGTGGACAGGTCTGTGGAGTTCAGGAATCTGCTGTCTGCCAGGGGCCCCTCCCTTGACCATGCAAGAAGGGTCTCTGGATGCCTCTACCCCATGGAAACCACAGGTTCATCTGCCTCTTGACTGGTGTGGTCTGTGCAGTGAACAAAGAGCTGAGGCTCAGTAGAAACACCGAGCCCAGATCAGCTTTTGTGGCTATTCCAGGTGCATCAGGTAATACATGCAGCTATAAACATTCCCTGGTAAAAACAGGAGCTAAATTACCCGGTGAAAGATCAGTTGGAGAAGGGGACACCATTTTCACAGTCCCACTCTGACGCATCAGAGCAGAAGCCTGAATGGCAGAGGGGCAAGGGATGCAGCCTGGAGGAGAGTCAAGTTCTTTTCTCCTGATTCTCCACCACCCAGGTGTCCACACACTGCAGATCTGCCCAGCCTTCCTGTCTGAGCCACAGACAGGGTCTGCGAGGGCTAGCCAGGCCCACTCTCCTCAGCCTGCGGTTCCCAAGCATGGCAGGGACCCACCCCGAGGCCCCTGATTATTTCAGTCATGTCTTTCCCTCCCCCGATTCATTTCTATCACTGACACTGTCCGGCACAGTGGTGCTTTCAGAGCATGTCACGGGAGACAGCCCGCATCAAGGCATGAGACCGAGTACGTGAGAATTCTTAAAGTCCATAGCACTTGTCATCCTGGCTGTTACCCCTGCTATCTGCTCTTTGGCCTGGGCCCCGTCACTCAGCCCTTCCTCATCTTCATGTCCTCAGTTCTAACACAGGATGCCTGTGTGCGGCTCCCCACCAGCTTCAGGGGGGCACCTTGTAGGCTTTGGGGACAGAAAATGGAGGGAGCGCTAACACAGCCTTGGAAGCAACTGGCGGAGCTGCTCAATAAGCAGCGGGTGAAAGAAGGCTCACAATGTAGGAGGTATCCGACATTCCCTCCGGGGGACAGACAGAGGTACGGGGACAGATGGAGGTACAGGCACAATGCTTTTCCGTGTGTGGGCATTGGGGGCAGCCCAGGGGCGAGGCCTTTGCAGTAATGGAGGAATCACAGCCAGGGGGAGGAATACCACTGGAACGCACTTCTCTCGGCTGTCTTCTTGAAAGTGGTGTTACCGATGGAAGGACAGTTTAGTTTCCCTGGTGGCTCAGTAGTAAAGAATCTGCCTGCCAATGCAGGAGATGTGGGTTTGATCTCTGGGTTGGGAAGATCCCCTAGAGTAAGAAATGGCTACCCACTCCAGTATTCTTGCTTGGGAAATCCCATGGACAGAGGCGGCTGGTGGACTACAGTCTGTGGAGTTGCAAAAGAGCTAGACATGACTTACTGACTGAGCATGCACGGTTTCGCTGAAGCATCGCAGAGGGCATGGGCCCTCAGGGCTCCGGGGCTCTGGGTGAGCTCTTGGGAGCCTAGAACCAGCCCCAGGAGAGGAAGTGGGGCTGGTAGGCACAGGTTGTACAGCCAGAGGGGCAGGTGGGATCCAAGGTTCCCAGGCGGTTCTACTTTGAGTTACAAGGTTGGGAACCTGAATGTGGTAGAGGTAGATGATGAGGAAGCATGAGATAATAGAGCTATTAAGAGAATCTGAGTTCCTAAGGAGAAAGGGGTATAAATCTAAGGTATTACAGACCCATGCCTGACCCTCTTCGCATAGAGCCTCAGGCATGTGGCTCCAGGCTAATTAGCGCTGGCCTAACCACCTCCTATCCTGGAAGAACTCATTAGGGACATGGTATAAGGGCTCAAACTGAGAATCAGCAGGTAATTAGAACTTTCCACTGTTTCGAAACCAAAGTCCTACCCACCGGATGACTTAAGGTTTTACCTTTTTCATTAAAGTGTTCAGAATTGTAAAGAAACACCCTCGTTAGGCAACTGCTGGCTTTTAAACCAGATCCTTGTTTGCAAATATACAATTATCTCAAAAACTGTTTCCAGATTCTTGCTGGCTCATCAAGAATCAGATTAATCACTGGGATTGGGCCAGTGAGTGGCTGGGAACAGCCTGAGGACCTGGAATAAAGGCTCCTGTCCCAGCGGTGGGGGTGTGCTTATATGCTTAGTTGCTCAGTTGTGTGACCCCACGGACTGTAGCCCACCAGGCTTCTCTGTCCATGCGGATTCTCCAGGCTAGAATACTGAAGTGGGTAGTCTATCCCTTCTCCAGGGGATCTTCCTGACCCAGGAATCAAACCAGGGTCAGCGGCATTGCAGGCAGATTCTTTACCAGCTGAGCAACCAGGGAAGCCCAGGAGTGGGGGTGGCCAGGATAAAAGACTCTCCTCCCAACTCAGGGTGGGCGTTTTCTACACTGGGTCCTGAGATCCCAGTTGTCATATTACATTTTTGTTTTGAAGTTTGCGATTAGAGTCAGCAATTTCTTTTTCTTTCTTTCTTTAAACTGGAGGCTATACTTTACCACACTGTGATGATTTTTGTCCTATATCAACATGAATCAGCCACAGGCATACATGTGTCCCCACCCTCTCCCCACCACTTCCCTCCCAACTCCATCCCTCCAGACTATTAGAGAGCACTGGCTTTGGGTACCCTCAGTGGGAGTTTGATGTATGTCATAACTTTTTAAACTATGTATGCTGTGCTGTGCTAAGTCGCTTCAGTCATGTCCAACTATCTGTGACCCTATGGACTGAAGCCTGCCAGGCTCCTCGGTCCATGGGATTGTCCAGGCGAGAATACTGGAGTGGGTTGCCGTGCCCTCCTCCAGGGGGATCTTTCTGACCCAGGGATGGAACCAGTGTCTCTCCTGCATTGGGAGGCAGGTTCTTTACCACTAGGCCCATCTGGAAAGCCCCTTAAGCTATGTATACACTTAGGCAAAGTTAGCTATTGTTGATTAGGAAGCGTATGTAAGCTTTCATATTGAATATTTCAAAGACAGCAGAGATAGATTACCGCAATCCCAGGGATGGTAGATAAAAAAGAAAAGTTCTAATTCACTGTGGCCTTTCCGACCCCCCCACTCCCCTGTTCAGTGCTCCCGCGTACGTTCACTCTTGTGGGAAGGGCTCGGTGTTTGGCTTTTGCTGGTCAAACAGCTGGTGGTGTGTGTCTGTCTGTCTGTAAGTTCAGCGAGGGAAGGGAAGTTCTCTGTCTTGCTGCCACTTTATAATCAGCATCAAACAGACTGTCTGTCACATTGAACAGGCTTAACTGATGGTTGCTGAAAGAAAGGAGGAAGGGAGGGAGACTAACCCTTGATGCCTGTAACACAATCTAGACTGGGTCAAAGTGGCCGTGGTCTAGCCTGGAGCTCCTAACAGCACTGAGGTGTGTGTTTGTGGGGTGTGGCTGGCGGGGGGCGGGGGCGGTAGTTAGCCTGCCCCCTTGCATTTACTTGAGGCTGCCTCATCTGTCCTCCTGTCTCAGTGTATTTTTGTTGTTGGTAGTCGCTCAGTTGTGTCTGACTCTTTCCGACACTATAGACTGTAGCCCGCCAGGTTCCTTGGTCCATAGCATTTCCCAAGCAAGAATACTGGAGTGGATTGCCATTTCCTTCTCTAGGGGATCTTCCCAACCCAGGGATCGAACCCATATCCCCTGCTTGGCAGGCAGATTCTTTACCACTGAGCCACCTGGGAAGCTGTTCTCTCAATGTGCAGCTATGAGATTGGTGACTTTTGTTGACAACGGGCCACTGATTTTATCCACCCCACTAGTTCCTTTCATTCTGACTCGGCTGAAGCCACTGGGTCCCTCCGCTCCCCATCCCAGGCCCAGAGGGTCTGCTCATCTCACCCTCATACCCGTCACTGCTCCCACAGACCGGGCAGGAGATGCCGAGTTACCTGTTCATTAAGCTGTATGACCTGCGTTTCTAAGTCTTTATCAGATTTGGATGCTGAGCCACTGGATGAAGCCCTTTTGGCTGAAGAGGGACGAGAAGGTGTGGATCCTGGTTTAGATGCTGGACTTGATTTAGCCGCACCTGAAAGCAACCAGAATAAATTATGAGCACTGGCAACATGAGAAATGCTTTTTCGGTTGACAGCAAAACTATGATAACAAAAGGAATTTACTAAAACATATAAGAGATAACCGCCAGCTATCCCTTCCCAGCACAGTGTGTGGATGCTAAGTCACACTGGTTGTGTCCAACTCTGCACGATCCTATGGACTGTGGCCCGCCAGGCTCCTCTGTCCATGGGATTTTTTAGGCAAGAATACTGGAGTGGATTGCCATTTCCTTCCCCAGGGGATCTTCCTGACCCAGGGATCGAACCTGAGACTCTTACATCTTCTGCATTGGCAGGTGGGTTCTTTACCACTCATGCCACCTGGGAAATCCCTCCTACAACAGAAGTAGCACAAACACACTTAGGAAGAGTGCACACAATAAAATGAGAGAGTCATCCTGGGCAACTTAACCCTTCTGAGCAGTTTTTCCCTCAAGTGACATGAGATTAATGCAGTTGTCCTTTCTCCCTCCAGAGAGATGAGAATAGCAGACACAAAGGGATTTTAAGTTGTTTATTTTTTTTCTTTTAAGAAGGAAAGGTTCTCTGATAAGCTCCAAGCATCATCCTAATTGAATTTCTAATACAGATCTTATAACAGTGTAACACTTTAGGAGAAATATCAATGCAAATGTCTATTTTTTCCTCTTTTAATGTATACCCTAGTTTCAGCCATTAAAAGACTCTAGGAGCCATTAAAAGACATCTCTGTAGCAATGGGCACTCCTGGTGCCCAAGTCCTGGTTTCTAAATGTTATTCTGCAATAAAAGGGCTTCTTGAGATAGAGCTGACTCCACGGGTGGGCATGGAACATCTTATGTCAAAGAGCAAGGATGTGCTCAAGAATTTCGGTCAACGAGACAAGGACAGAAGGGGCTCCCAACTAGCCACACTCAGACCATTTTGCAAACCAAAAAGAATAATGGCTGCAATTGTATTACAATGCACTGAATAAACAAAAATCTAGTCCATGATGAGGGGAGCAGAGAGGAAGGATATAAAGATCTTTACAGAACACTTGACAGCTAGGAAATTGCTAAAGAAATGCTACAGAAAAAAAATCACCGTTTTGCAGTACACTTAACTGATCCAGGGAGGTTTCATCAACTGACTCTAAGACATTGAGAGGTTTTTGGAGAACCAAATAGAAACACATGTCAAGTCGTTATCCTGTAAGTTGCTTATAATGGGAGAAAGACATGCCTTTACAACAGGGAAGCCTGGGAACTGACACAGTAACCAAGTTATTCAGCAGCATCACTAATAATGACAGAAACTGGCAAAAATAAAAGACCACTGATGTCCGGTAAGACCTCATCTACCTGAAGCTCAGCTTAAAACAGACTCTCCCTATCTAGAACTTGACACACATAGAAAATGGCCTCTGCAGCCAAAAGAGAAGGCACAAGGTGTAAGCAATGAAGTTTATACACTTCATGGGTTTAGAAATTCAGTCATTGCTGAGGCCCAGTCACGCCCTCTTCCTCTGAACAGCTCAGCCTGGTGTAGGTGCTCCCACTGGCCCAATTCTCCACCCCAGTCCCCCCACCCTCTGGCTCATCAGTCTCTGCTCTGTAAGCTCTGCGCTTAGCACAATACTTGGCAGAACATATACTTGGTGAAGGAACAACTGTTAAAATAAATACAGGAACAAGTAAATAAAACCTGGTTATATGGTTTCCAACTTTACATTTTATTTCCAACTTTACAGTTTATTGGGACCAAGAGGTGAGAAAAAGGCAAGGGGTTATACAGGCAAGCTAACAGCAACAAGTTTCAACCAATCTCCTAATTACAAAGTAGCAAACAGGGAAGACTATAAAATTCCTATCTGTCTGTCTTCGGGTGCCGGAAGTCATCAGTGAGAGGTGCCAAGTCATACACACCCTCAAGAGGCATTGACGGCAACATACCCTTTAATATACATGCCTGTTATAAAGGAGAAAAAAAGAATTTTCTTCTAGAAATACAGGGAAATGCCTAATATGCTGAAAATGAGAATGCTTAAATTAGATATGACTGAAGAAGTTTGAGTATGCACACCTTTAGCTACCTGGAAACCTCACTTATGCACCAGACCTTCCCAAGTGTAGATAGTAGATGGCCTGCTTTGTGATTCACCAAAGCTGCGAGGAGCCTTCATCTTTTTGGAAGCTCAGATAAAACACTCCTGGACAGGGCTTCCGTGTCCCACTGACCAGGCTGTCTAACTCCAGGCCAAGCCAACAGGGTAAGGAACACAGCACAGAGAATAGCAGGGAAGGCAGGGCGAGGATGTGTGGACCTGGCAAAGAGCCTTCTCCAAGGGCGGCCACCAGCCAGCCTCGCTGGGGAAGTTGCTGTTGACAAATCAAGTTACTGCAGATCTTTTCATGAGCTGTGTGTCATATTTTAATATAAAGAAGGTCTAACAGAAAGCAGCTCAAAGACTGTCCATGACCAACCCCTTTTATTACTAGATACAGACTTACTAAGTGCCTACCATGAGCCCTGTGCTTCCTGGACATCTCAGTGGGTGGAGAATTCACCTGCAATTCAGAAGACACAGGAGACCCGGGTTCGATCCCTGGATTGGGAAGATCCCTGGAGAAGGAAATCGAAACCCACTCCAGTGTTCCTGCCTGGAGAATCCCATGGACAGAGGAGTCTGGCGGGCTCCATGGGGTCGCAAAGAGTCAGACACGACTGAGCGACTGAACACGAGATTGATGAGCCCTGTATTGGCGGTCCCTGCTCTAGAGGAGTTCATGATCGCATGGGAGTGATCATTTAAGAATGCTCACAGACAGAAAGACAGTTTATGTCATCACTGACATGTGGAATCTAAAAAGTAAAGCAAATGAATGTATAAATATATTTAAAAAAAAAAAAAACTGCCCAGGCATGGCCACTCAACATTCTCAGGAGCAAGGCAGTGTTCTAGACACGACCACAGAGCGTGATTTGGCTGCATTCCCTCGCTGAAACTCCTCCCTCTTCTCCTCTGAGTGACTGAGTCTAACATCCTTCAGGTCTCAGCTTAAATGTGGCTGTGCAGGGAGGCGACAGGACCCAAACACCATCCACACAGCACCCATCATCTGGAGTGGTATGGAGTGATTTATTTAATGCCTGCTTCTCCAATTAGAGGGCTTCCCAGGTGGTGCTAGTAGTAAAGATATCTGCCGATGTAGGAGATCCCTGGGACGGGAAGATTCCCCTGGGATAGGAAGTGGTACCCCACTCTGGTACTGTTCCCTGGATAACTGCATGGACAGAGTAGCCCAGTCCATGGGGCTGCAAAGAGGCGGATATGACTCTAAGCGACTGAGCACTCCCATTAGACTTAAATTCCAATGAGGGAGGAGTTGTATCTGCTTTGTGTTCTCACGGCCAACCACAATGCCTGATCCAGAGGAGACACTTGATAGTTACACTTTTGTGACTCATGACAGAACTCCTGGGAGAGGCAGGTATCCAGGGGACAGGTCCCAGGGAAGCTCAAGGAGCTGATGGCAACTTCAAAATCACTGACAGCAAGAGCTAGCACTAATTGAAGGAAACCAAACAAAACCCACCAGCCTCCCAGAGAGAGAATCTCTGACTGGGTTTCAAGGTCACCTTCCATCATCACTTAGGCCCTTTAGAGATGGAATCAGGACAGCAGTTCACCTGGGTAAATTCAGTCAGTAAACAGTTAACTCTGAGTAGGAAGGAGCAAGGTGGTTTGTGCTGGGCTGTCCAAATTCCAAATCTGCCATGTTCTCGTCCATGCCTCTCCTGAAGAGAACAGCCCTGTAGAAGGGGTTTCCCTGGAGAGCAAGTGACCACCCCCATCCTCCCCCTGCCGGGCAGGCGTCCCTCAGCAGGTCAGCACCTGGGATGGGGCTGGTTGCAGGAGCTGAATGAGGTCCATCAGACACAAGTTCTTCTGCTCCACCTTACCCAGTCTCACGTAAATTTTTTAAAAGAAAAGCATGAAAGGAAGAGAAGCTGGTTGCTTGTAAAACAAGGTTGTGCGTGCTTGCATGTTTAGTTGCTCAGTTGTGTCTGACTCTTTGCAACCCCAGCCAGGCTCCTCTGTCCATGGGATTTCCCAGCAAGAATATATTTTCAGGACATCATCAAATGCAGCTTGCAAAAAAAAAAAAAAAAAACAAACCCTGAAGTTTCTGATAAGAAGTTAAAGTAGAAGACGTCAGGGTAAGCCAGAGCCCCATGGTAGACCAAGTTATCAGGAAGAAAAACTAAAAATAAGCAGAGGGAGCAGGCTGGGAGGGAAATGGGGTCATGGGAGATGCGGGCGGCTCACGGCAGAGACCAGAGCGGCTGCCGTCACTGGCACTGTCCCAGTTCCAGCTTTTTCCTGAGGAAACACATCCCTTGCTGCTGACAGAGTCCAACCCGACTGTGGTTCACAGGTCTTGGCACTCAAGTGCCAGCTGTGATTCACAGACCCTATAAACTGGCACAGTGCAAGCAGCCTGGAGGTCTCTGGGATGAGAAAGATGAAGGCAGTGAGAGTCAGACTTGGCATCCCCCTGCTGCTGGGCGGGGAGGGGACAGTGGAGAAGAGGGGGCTTTGTCCATGCCCCACCCGCTATACTCCCTACACCGAGCATGGGAGCCAAGCTGCTGCCTCCACAGTTAGAATAAAGTAAAGAAGGGAAAACAAATTCGAAAAACGTAAAAAGCTCAATTAAGTAATTAATACACGAAATTTAAAATTAGAGGGGTTTTGAATTCTGATTTAAGTTGTTTGGAAAGAAACTGATAATAGAAATAGACATCTGATGGATGAGGATACATCCATGAGGTCAGCATCAGTTAACTATACATTTCTACCTTCCAGTCAATAAAGGCAAAGACATGAAAGAACAGGAAGGACATAGGGAAGATCTTAGTATCTTCAGAGGTTAGAAGGTTTTTTTTGAAACCACACAATTAAAGCTCATTTTCAAAAGAATGTAAACTGAGCTCTTTAAATCCTCA